CATAAGTGATGTATCTGAGGTTTTCCTTTCGATGAGTTTTCTTACAAGTTCGACCTGCACCACTCGCCAACTCTAAATAGTATCTCAAATAACAATTATAACAGATTTGTATTTCTTTTTCCTTTTCTCCCAACTTTGTCTTCCCTGTCTAAACCCTCTTTCTAGCTTTATGTGTGTGCTTTTAACTATTTATATGATAAATAGTCCATAGTGCATGTTTTTGTTTAACCATCATATATTTTTATTAAAGAGGAATGACAAGATTATTTACTTTCTCTCCATTTTTCTAGATTTAGTTTTTAACGTATTGTTGTTTACAGGTATTTTTTTTGGAACCAGAATGACCATAATAGATGAGATACCAGGAAGCTTCCTGACCTGAGTAAAAAATGCTTAAGGACTTTTATAAGCTTGGAAAATCGGTAATCTATTAAGCTAGCTATATGTTAATTTATAGTTTTAAAAGTTAAAGGGAATATTAGTCATTGTTTCTTAGTAGTGTATTTTGCCTTCATGTAGGTTCTTATTGTTTCTTGATACATGACATGAGATTTGGGTGCCATTAAGTTTTCCACGCTCGATGTTGATATTAATGTCAACATAACCTCAAGTTTACCTCATATTTTAATTTAATATGTGAACATTAAACTTTATATAGTAGCTATAGATAGTTTTTGAAATTTTTTTATATTAAGTATGTAACAGAGTTTTCGAATAGCAATAAAATCTGATATCTTTGTGTAAAATTTTACATATATCATTCATCTCCTCCATAACTTTAATTTATTATTCATATAAAATTTGATTTATTATATTATTTAATATTTTTTCTCAGTATTTATGTTGAATTCTTTTTTAATGTTCAACTTTTTATATTCTAGATGGATTAATGATGTTTGTTAAAATTAGCCACACTTTTCTATAGGCTCATGAAGAGGAGGATGCATCTGAAGAAGCAGTAGAAAATCCATTTATAGTCTAGATGGATTAATGATGTTTTCAGTTTTGGCCCATAGAAAATTCGGATTTATGCTCTAGCATCCTACTTTAATGTTGGAGTGATAGAAAATTCGCGATTTTTAATATGATTTTGAATGTGGACTAATAGAATCGTACTTTAAATCTGTAGCAGGTCTGTGGGATGCTTGAAAATTGAAGAGTTGTGCATGAAAATTGACGGGTTTATGGGTTTATGCTTATACAGTTATACTAGGTGTGTTTTTATACAATATTTTCTTGCATTCATATTATTTTAAGTTGTGAGGATTTTGTTACATGTGTGCATTTATCAAGTAAATTTGAAGCTTTTATTGCATCAGACGTGTATATATATATATATATATATATATATATATATATGACCTATATATTTGATTGGAAAGGTTTGAAATTGTTTTTATATTGTTGTGTCATTTGAACCATAATAATACATCCTCTAATGAATCATCAGTCTAACTTTTTTTAAGTTGTACGAAGAAATACTCTTCAAATGTAATTTGTTGCTGATGTTGATGTCATTTACACACCAATGTTGGACATGGTGCTTTTCACGTGAGAGTTTATTTGACCTAGAAGCTAGGCATTATGTTTATGTTGCTTATTTTTCTTAGAAAATGTACTTTGAAACCTTTAGCCAAAACCAAAAACATGAGTACAATGTTAATGTCACCTTTCACCAAAATGTGTATTATCATAGGCTTCAGAATGGTCAATCTGCACTTTGGTCCTGCTTTGGAAAAAATTTCTCTTTATGTTGATATTGTAGTCTTTTGATGGGTTTGTTGGAATATGGGAAATTTTGCCCTTGTCTTCATATAAGATATTCATTTTTCAGTTGGGGTTGCTATTTATTCATTTTAATTAAGTGTTGACTGATGAATTTTAATTTATATTTTTTGTAGCTTGTGGTGACTGTCACTTGGATATTCACATACATGTGGTGATTGTCACTTAGATATTCACATAGTTTTGCAAATTAATTCATGACATATATTGAAAAAACTTTAGCAGATTATCATGTGAGTTTCTAAACGATGTATGTGACTTCAAGAACATTACAACTCTAAAATTTTATAGAAAAAACAAGAAACCGAAACTGAACAACTGATGATTTTGTATACCCAAATTGAAAAAACAAAATGTTAGGTTTCGTTTTAGTTTTAGTAAAAATCGAACCATCCACACTCTAGGGAATAACAATATTCGTTCATGGTAAAAAAAAATTACGTTATGTTCTAAAATAAAATTTATATATAAAAACCAGAAAAACAATTATTTCACTAGAACACCAATACCCTCATGTTGTATTGACTAATTAGATGTTGTATACTATTTGCAAAAAATAACTATTAGTCTTTATAAACTAATTTTTGAAAGAAATTATTCGAACCGTCACTTGGCGCGGGTAACGGCTAGTATATATATATATATATATATATATATATATATATATATATGAAGATATTTAATTTCTAATGTAACAACTAAAATCACCACCAAGTTGCTAAATAATATATAGTATAACTTATTTCATTTTGGACATATCTTATCAATTAATTCTTTCATTTTGGATATATGTTTATACTATCTTCTGGACACACGCATGTTTTTGTGCGCTCTCATTCTCTTAATTAATAATTTGTGAACGCTAGTTCAGTAACGAACATTAGTATGGACTCATTCATCTCAACATTATAAATTACCATATAATTTGTGTACTCCATATAAACAATTATATAAAACTAATTTATGAAAGACCATGTGTAAAGTGGTTAGGGGTGACATCGTCCACTATGCTATCAATTAGGTTTACGGAATATTCAAATTAATAAACTTTTAATTAATTAATATTCAATCTATTAAATTAATTAATCCCAATTAATTTCAAAATAGTTTCCAATTAATTTATCAATTCATAATAAATTAATAAACTAATTTCTCTTAAACTCTCTTTGTCTATTAAATTTTAATTGCTCAAATGGTTTTGAGGAAAATATAAAAATACATTGTTATTATTAGAAATATTAACAATATTTAATAATTTTGAACATTCTTTCCAAAATTAAGAAGACCTTGAAATTCCTACCTATCAGCCTTTAATGATCTACAAGCACAGCATAAACCTTAGCTATAATCGGGTCTGAGTTATTTAATCAATTATCTACAAAGTGCAACATAAACCTTAGCTAGAATCGAGCCTCATTCAGTTAATCGACAACCATGTTAACAGAATGTTAGTTAGCTGCAAAACAGTCAACTAACAATCAACTAGCTACACCTACATATTAGTTAGTGGTTCATCAGCTAGCTACTAGTAATCAATTCTCAAGTCACATTAAATAATATTGTTCTCATTTTGAATATGACAATATCTTTGTAATCTATTAAGAATTGTACATACTTTTTTGTTAAATGCTTATAAAAAATCTAAAAAAAAATAAATAGGTTTATGTATGGGTGTTATAAAAGGAATAAAGTGTCCGAACCAAATACTGTTTCATTTGTTTGGTTGACTTTAATTTGTTTTCAGCTTGGTGTTTGGTTTAATTGATTAAACCGAATAAGGTTTTACGATTGTTTATTTTTATTTTGACCATCCATATATATGACTTATTTATAACGTTTGACTTTGCCTAATGTTAATTAGTATCTGATAAATGTTTTTTGTTCTAATATTCATTTTCTTTTTTACGTTTTGTTTCGAACTTTGCTAATTTTGGTTGCTATTTGATATGAGTTTAGTTTCTTTGTCGGTTGAAAAAAACGTTTTTAAAATGGACTAGTAGTTTTAAATTTATTGTCAAATAAAGTTATTTCATAGACTAATGTTTAGCTCCATACTTATCAAAGAAAATAAAAAAATTGATAAACCAAAAGAAATTTAATATATTTTTTGATTTAACCATAAATCAAATAAATCAAACCAATTAAATTGAATCTTATTCGTTTCGATTTTAATTAGAAAAATACAATAAAATTGAAGAATAAACTAATATCTTATTAAAGTATCATAATAATAGTCTGGTTAATGTACATTCAAGACAACCAGATAAAAAAATAAAGTTGTAGGTGGTTCACATGAATTTGGGTTCATAATTGTTGACAATGTCATTCTACCCCCGACGAGGAAACCCAATTAATCGGAAAGTGATTTTGCACAACAGCTTTGAGCAATGAGCAATGAGGCCAGGAAGCCGATGAATGATGATGGCTTTGGGTCACTGGTCATCAAACTAAGAATAATTAGGGATTGTATCGACAATGGTTAATAGTGGGTTTTAGATGTACAACCTCACGACGCTACTCTGGCAAAGTTATTCCCACGGTTTCTTTTAGAAAAAAAAAATCTTAAAAAAATAAATTAAAAGTGTTTTTATTTAAGCTATTATGTTCTCTTAACTAAATATAATAGTACAAGGTTTTAGTAGTTATTTTTTCTAACTATTACCCTCTTGTAGAAAATTCGGAGAACTTCATAAGTCACAATAAAATAACGATGAGTTAAATTATAAAGTTTTGAAAAATTAAATAACTTCATATTTTATTCATAAAAATTATTAATTGAATCTACTATTTATTTTTACTTTTATTTAATATTGAGATTTTTCTTAGAAAAATAAATAAGATAGATAATAACGATAAAGAAATATATAATTTCTTTTTTTCTTTTCTGATTTTATTTTTTGTTATATTATCATAACGTCAAATTGTCCCCTTCCTTTTGTTTGTTTTATGTATGGGATAATATTTTGAATAAACCATGTGGGTCTATATTTTAATCTTATGTATTAATCATTAATTTAGTATTTATTACATATATATAACAACTAATTAAAGTTAATGGATAGTATATATATATATATATATATATATATATATATATATATATATATATATATAATATATATATATATATATATATATATATATATATATATATGTGTGTGTATGTGTATATATAGTCCTTTCATGAGACATAAGAAGAAACAAGTTTCTAGTTCATTTGCTTGCTTATAATATCATGGAAACATTCTCATCCCTTCAATTGTTTCTCCTTTCATTCCTCGCATCTATCATTTTGATGATATTTACTCGTTTCAAATTCTTTCCATCTGGTTTGAAGATCAAGAAATGTTTACCCCCATCTCCACCAAAGCTTCCAATCCTTGGAAACCTCCACCAACTAGGATCACACCCCCATCAGTCTCTACATGCTTTGTCTAAGAAATATGGTCCACTCATGCTCATTCACATTGGTAGCATACCGACACTTGTAGCCTCATCTGTCGATGCAGCCCAAGGAATCTTGAAAACCCATGATTCATCATTCTCAAGTCGGCCCAGTATGTCTATAGTCAAAATTCTTTTCTATGGCGGTAAGAACCTAATATTTTCTCCACAAGGGGAACATTGGAGGAAGATGAGGAGCGTTTTAGTCACCCGACTTGTAAGTAATGCACGTGTTAAGTCATTTCGAAAAGTAAGAGAGGAAGAGACAAGGAATCTGATTGGCGCGCTTGAAGAGAGTCATGGCTCTTTGGTTGATTTGAGTGCATTAATAGTCAAACTTACAAACACCATAATTTGTAAGGTGGCATTCGGAAGGGTACATTCTGGGCCAAAGTTCACAAACTTATTAAAAGAACACGTCGAAATGATTGCAACTTTTAGCGTGGGGAGTTATATTCCATGGTTGTCTTGGGTAGATCGACTGACTGGCTTAGAGGGAAGAGCAAAAAAAGGTGCTGAAGAATTTGACGTGTTCATTGAAGGTGTTATTGAAGAACATGTGAATAAAAAAGGAGGAGTGGAGGCTAAAGGTGATGATGTGCAAGACGTAGTTGACATCTTATTGGAATTCCAAAATGAGAACACAACCGACTTTACCCTTGACAGAGATTCTCTTAAAGCGGTTATTTTGGTATGATTTCTATTTCTTTCTCTTCAAGATAAAGTGTCATTAATTATTATACTTAGAGCATCCACAATGGATTAAACTCTATCATTGTGAGATGCTATCATCGTGGGATGTCATGTGGGCATTAAGTGGATATAGAGTTCCATATTTATCTATTAGCTAGTTGCTTAGTAACTTCCATCGCATATAAATTATTGTGTCTTGATATGAACAGTATATATCACGTGGGCATATATATATATATATATATATATATATATATATATATATATATTACGTGGGCATATATGTATGTACTGTGCACGATCTAGCAAATGAGAATGATATGAACAGTATTGTGTTGGACATAATTTACTTGGTTTCAAATGTATGTATGTACGTACGTAAAGCATCGATATCAAAAAAAAAAAAAAAAAAAAAAAACAAAAAAAACTCATGCATGCAAACGCTTTGATTCAATTCATTTTTTAAGTTGCGACTTTACATTGAAAAAACACTTAACTTTTTAGTTGCTTGCTTGTAGGTGTATAGTACATATGAAGAAAATCAAATTAGAAGTTAAAACTAATAAATTTTTTGTTTATTATTTATAGGATGTATTTGCCGGTGGAACGGATACCACATTCAACACTTTAGTATGGGTACTGAGTGAGCTAATAAGAAACCCAAGAGTAATGAAAAAATTACAACAGGAAGTTACAAAAGTAGCACAAGGGAGACCCATGCTTTTGGAGGAAGATTTTGAGAAAATGGAGTACCTAAAAGCTGTGATAAAGGAGTCGTACCGATTGCATCCTCCAGCCCCATTTCTTCTTCCTCGGGAATCAGTAGAAGATGTGAAAATGATGGGTTATGATATTCCAGCAGGCACACGAGTGTTTGTCAATGCCTGGGCGATAGGAAGAGATCCTAATGTATGGGAAGATTTTGAGGAGTTTAAGCCAGAAAGATTCATGGACAGTTCCGTTGACTTTAGAGGGCATCATTTCGAGTTGATTCCATTTGGTGCTGGCCGTAGAGGATGCCCTGCAATTCATTTTAGTGTAACTATCCTCGAGCTTGTATTAACGAATCTCGTATACAAGTTTGATTTCAGATTGCCAGATGGAGAGAAAATTGAGGATATGGACATGAGTGAGAGAAATGGGCTTACAGTCCATAAGAAGGCCCCTTTACTGGTTCTGCCGACTCCTCGGTAGCTTCATTGTCTCTCAACTTGGTAATAATTTATTTGATTTTGGGTGTTGTTCTCTACTATCTTCAACATCTCCTTCATCTTATTAGCTGTTTGTGAAGTCGGCATCTGTTGCTTTGCTTAGCGTTCTCTTTGTTTGGGATTAATGTTTGTTTACATTGGTTTTTTCCTTGTGATGTTTTTTTGTTTCTGTCTTGTTCTCCTTCACCTCCTTGGTGATTTCTTATAATCCAGGTTTCTATATATTGTCTTCTTTGTTGTTCAGAAAAGAATATATATATATATATATATATATATATATATATATATATATATATATATATATATATATATATATATATATATATGGGCAATTTTTTTGTTTTCGCTTGAGAAGGTACAATGACGAAATCAGGTAGTTTTTTAAGTATAATGCCTTAACGAGAAAATATATTTAGATGTATAGGGTTGTAATAAAATGATCGCATACAATTTGAGGCTAGATTTGAATTTGAGTATTGTAGGGATCAAAAGAGACTCATAAAGTTGAACTCATAGTGAATCAAAATCAAACTGCTAAACCCTTAAAATGAAAATAAAATTTATTCTAATAGTTCTTGGTTTGCCTCGACTAAGAACAATACGACAAAATACAGTGAATGAGGCATTTTAACAGACTAATTCAGAATCATTATGGGACAAAGTGGTTATTTTGCCCCTTATGTGAACAAATTACTAATTTAGTCTAAAGAGTAAGAACAAAAGCAAAATAACAGCCAAAATAGTAATTTTACATGGGTTCATCACCTATTTTTACTTGGGTTTTTTTGTAGTGACTGGTGTGGAGCATACCAGAGCTTCCTTTTCAGGACATCATATCAAATTTCCCAGTCTTCCTAAGTACCGAAAGCCAAATCAAGTGTCAAGTAAGTGGATATAACCTTTTACAGGTTTTACCACATACTCAATTAGAAAAATTATAAGAAAATAGTTGCATTTTTATCCTATAGTTTAGCTGATTTTTGCAATACTTGTCCCATAAAAATGTTTCTTACAGTTTTGGTCCTAGGATTGTTAAATCTAACTCAAGGACGTTAAACTTTCTAGAATGACAATTTTGTACTTGGACACAAATTGAAAAACGGCATACCAAAAAGACCAAATTTGTAATTTTCACTTGCTTTAATCTACAGTTTTTATATGTGCATATAACTTTCAAATTTTATAATATTTGACAAATAATATAATATACTAAATATAAATTATTTATATCTTCTCGTATCTTAATTTTTAGACTAATTTTCTTGAATATTTTTTTGTTATTTTAACTTTTGCATTGCACAATTCACATATGAAATATGCATTTTAATAAATTTACATAACCATATCCACATATAAAACAGTATAGCCCTTAAACTAAAAAAAAAATTTACAAATGTACTTCCTATAGAATATTGATTTTTCATTTTTGGTGAGGGGCAATATGGTCATTTTCAAAGAATAACAGCTGGGTAGTTCATTTTATGATCCAAGAACCAAAAAACTTGGTCAAAGACGAAAATGCAAAAATCAACTAAACTGATGGACCAAAAATGTAAATGCAAGTAACACTTAAAAACATAATTGAAGTGCATACCTCTTATTGTGTTTTACCTATCGTACATATAAAATAGGGGACGTGAAACCTCTGTTTTTTAAGCGTGTGGTAAATGTAGAAGCTTCTAAATCATAGAAATTTGTTTCAGGATCGAATAAATAAGTTCAACATTAATACCAGGCATGAGGCAGGCATCTAAAGGGATCTTACTGTCTCCAACCAAAAAAGGGAAATCCCTAATCTCTACAACCTCCTTAAACTTTAATACCCATAAATTTATTATCTTTCATGATTGCTTATCTTTAATACCCATAAATTTATTATCTTTCATGATTGCTTATATTTTCCTAGCACAAACAACATGACATCATTCTGGTGCATTATGAGAACCGTATGTAGCTAATACACAGAATTTGCAAGAACAAATGACAGAAGAAATCAGGTCATCACCATCTCAACAAATGGTTCATGTGTCATCATTAGGATCATCTCCTTTGACATCAACAAAATTAAATCTGATAGTATTCAAATCTTCCTCTTTGCTCAAAGATTCTGGGAGAAAAATTAAAATTTGATACATCCATAGTTCTATTTTAACAACTACAATGAATCCCATTAGTCTTGGTTCTTCTTTTAACATTAGCAAAGGCTAGGACTTTTCACAAGCACTAGTTAACAGACAAATTTTAAGACAGTGGTCTAAAGTAGAGCAAGTTCTGCCACAAACACCTATATTACAGAAGCAGCAGTGGCGACCATCAAGGTCAATCATATCACCCAACCCACTGTAAGAAAAAAAAAAAAAAAAAAAATTATATATATATATATATATATATATATATATATTAAAGAGCAATGGAAGAATCAAGATTAACTCAGCCCTAAGGTAGACCTACTCAAATTCATCCTTACTTGCAACTTGGTAAAAACACTTCCTTTTGTTCGTTTAGAAAAGAATACAATTTAATTTCTAAATTAATACTTTTTTAAATATTTTACCTCTATAAATTTCAACACATGTACCCTTGTTTAGCAAGCTCTTGGAGAAGCAGTCAATAGAAAATTAGTAGAAACGAAGGAACTAACCTTATAAAACTTCCAACTTATTAATCATGTCTTATTTAGTCTTTTTCATCTGGCAAAGCACAACCGCCTACACAAATGAGACGATTTCAGATTAGGTTGTATCAAAAATAACTGAAAAAGGGGAAATCAAACCTTTCAAGATCCATAATTGGAGTACACCCGGAGATTACTTCTCGTAACAGGTTATTGTGACCAAATTGCGCTTCTGATGTGTTTCCTAAGTGTGTTCTTCCTAAACAAACTGAAACAATTACTATGATGAGTTGTTATTATCGCCAATACCCCCCTTCAAGCGGAGCGGTGGAGGTCCAACACGAAGCTTGGCTCGAAAAGTTTCAAAGAGAGGCCGTGGTGACTCTTTGTAAAAATGTCTGCTAGCTGTAAATGAGTGGGAATGTGCTTGGTTTGAAGTTTGCCAGAGGAGACTAATTCACGGTCGAAGTGATAGTCGATATCAATATGCTTTGCCCTCTTATGAGAGATCGGATTTTGGCTCAAGAACAACGCACTCTTGTTATCACATAAGAGAGTGGGAATAGATGAAGGCAAGGCATGTAGCTCACGTAGCAAGTGAGTAACCCATATGATTTCTGCGGCTGTATTCACCATAGCCCGATATTCGGATTCACAACTGGAGCGAGAGACTGTAGGTTGCTTCTTGGCACTCCAAGAGACCAAGTTACCGCCTAAAAAAATAGAGTAGCCATACGTGGATCTGCGTGTTTCAATGCAACGAGCCCAGTCAGCGTCAGAATAGCCCAAAATAGATGCGGATGGTGGTCGACGAAAGTGTAAGCCATAAGAAAGTGTGCCTTTTACATAACGCAGAATTCGTTTAACAGCCTGGAAATGATCATCAGTTGGTGCTTGAAGAAACTGGCTGACCTGATTAACCGTATAGGAAAGGCCAGGTCTAGTGATGGTAAGATACTGAAGAGCACCAACCAAGGAGCGATAAAGAGTGGGGTCGGAAAATAGATTGCCGGCTGTTAAAAATTGGTCGGTTGGAGAAAGTGGTGTGGTGGTGGGTTTGGCATCAAGCAGCCCGGCACGGGTAAGAATGTCATGTGCATACTTGGCTTGTGTAAGAAAGAGTCCATCATCGATATATGAAGCTTCAAGACCAAGGAAATAACTCAAGGTTCCAAGATCCTTAGTAGCAAAATCATTGTTCAAACGAGAGATAAACATGCGAATGATAGCAGGATCATTACCCGTGAGGATAATATCATCGACATATACCAAGAGATATAGAAGTGTTGATCCTCGTTTGAGTACAAATAATGAAGTGTCGGCACGGCTACAATAAAAGCCAAGAGTGACCAAGAATGTATTAAGCCGTTGAAACCACGCACGAGGGGCCTGCTTAAGACCAAAGAGAGCTTTCTTTAACCTGCACACATGAAGTGGAAACTGATCATCAATGAACCCCGGGGGTTGTTCCATGAACACCGTGTCAGTGAGACAACCATTTAGGAAGGCATTTTTGACATCCAGTTGATGTAGAGGCCACCGTTGCATGACTGCTATGGATAACACAATACGTATAGTGGAGGCTTTAACAACGGGACTGAATGTATGAGAAAAATCAAGTCCAGGAACTTGAGTGAAGCCTTGAGCGACAAGCCTCGCCTTGTACCGTTCGATAGTGCCATCAGAATTAAATTTAGTTCTAAAAATCCACTTTGAACCTACAACATTTGAATTTTTAGGTCTAGGCACCAAGTCCCATGTGTCATTTGATTTTAATGCTGACATTTCTTCCTCCATTGCCATGAGCCACTGTGGGTGTTTAGAAGCTGATTTAAACCCTTTGGGGACTGTTGAAGAAAAAAGAGTGCTGATGAGACACGTATTTCCTAGAGAAGCTAAATCAGCAAAATGTTTCTTTTTAGAAATTCCATCTCGTAAGCGTGTGACCATAGGATGCATAGAGACAGAAGTTGTGGTGACTGGTGTGGGACCAGCTATGGGCTGCTTTAGTGGTGAGGTAGGAACAACAGTGCATTCATTATTGATGTCCTCCGGTGGAGGCTGGAATGGAGCAGCAGTGGCAACCGGCTGATGTTGAGGCACTGGCAAAGGAAGGGTCGGACACAGTTTACATGGAGACGATGTTGTAGAAGGTACAGAAGCAGATGATGAGCTGTTATTGATATTAGGGACTGTCGGCATAGATGGAGTACCTTGATCATCAAAGGTTGTGAAAGCCATGGTGGCAAGATCTGATGAGGATGTGACACCGGTATAGGGAAAAATACTTTCATCGAATTGAGCATGCCGAGTGGTGTAAATGCGTTGTGAAGTAGGATCTAAGCATTTATAACCTTTGTATTGAGGGCAGTAACCGAGGAAAATACATGGAGTACTACGAGGAGCAAGCTTATGAGGTGCATAATCTCGTAAGTATGGAAAGACCCTACACCCAAAAATCCAGAATACCTCATAGTTAGGTACGGTATCAAAGAGGACCTCAAATGGACTTTTATTGGAGAGGATTGGGGTAGGCAACCTGTTGATTATATAAACTGCAGAACTAAATGCATGAACCCAAAGATTTGCTGGTGCATCGGCATTAAAAAGCATAGCAAGGCCGGTTTTAGTTACGTGTCTATGTTTGCGCTCAACACGACCATTTTGCTGAGGTGTATAAGGGCATGAGATGCAATGATGTGTGCCATTGGTACTGAATAGTTGACCGACTCGTTTATTAAGAAACTCAGTGCCTCCGTCACTTTGGAATTCTTTGACTTTGCAACTAAACTGTGTTTGCACAAATGTAAGGAAAGTAGAAAGAGTTTATGCAAAATCAGATTTGAGCTTTAATGGGTAGAACCATGTAAATCTCGAGTAGTCATCCACAAAGATAGCATAGTATAAATATCCATCAGTTGATTCAATGGGAGCCGGACCCCACAAATCACAATGAATGAGATCAAGAACATGTGTAGCTCTTTTTGGATTATCACTGAAAGGTAAACGTGTGCTTTTGGACATTTGACAAGCAGTGCATATACCAGGTTTGGGCAAAAGAGAAGAAATAGACAAAGAACCATATTTATTTAACAAAGAAACAGTGTCAAAAGCTACATGTGCTAATCTACTATGCCAAATTTCAAAAGATGCAATGGTTCTCTTATTCCTTAAAGCTGCAACAAATGCCTTGTTTCCTTGTTCAAGCACGTAAAGCCCATCCTCATATGCGCCCACGTCCTCT